TTTTGAAAATAATAAATGTGCAATTAATTAATATGTGTCATCTATTTATTTTGGGATTTCGGCGGGGGACACAAGCCTCACTGTTGGCTTGTTACAAATTGAATTAATATTTCATCTTTTAAATTAATATTTCATCTTTTAATTTATGCTACCGAATGATGCTATCGAATGATGAATTCGGTATCTAGACCACTCGGACCAAAGACCACTTGGACCCAAAAAAAAGGAACCAGTCAGATCAAAACAGAGACAACTCAGACCAACCCATTAAAAGACTACTCGGACCAAACCAAAAGCCCACTCGGGTCAATTATAATTTATATTGTAAGACCACTCAGACCAATATTTATCTCTGCTAATCAGACCTACACAAAGGACCACTCAGACCAATTAAATTATATTATAAGGCTTGACTTATTCATTTTAAAAATAAAATACAATATGTTATTTATTTATTATTAAATCCCAATACAAAGAGGCGAATAATTTATAGTATATACATAACTTAACAATGTCTTTGTTAATTACTAGATGTGTGCTACGGGTAGTTACACACATGTATTTATAACATCAACAATTTAATTGTTTTTATACGCCCACATTTTTCATGTGGACCTATATTGTCATCGCCCCTGTCCGTTCGTCTGTCCTTCCGTCTGTCTATCTGTCCACAATTTGTTTGTGGACACTCTACAGGTCACAATTTTTATCTGATTTTGACGAAACACGATATATAGGTCTATCTCCCAAAGATCTCGGTTCCTTTCGATATTGGCATATATCAGACCATAACTTCATAGATTATGGCCCCTGATTGTACGAAGAATCACGTTTTTAGCTTGTGGACACTCTAGTGGTCACAATTTTCATCTGATTTTGATGAAGCTTGAAATGTATGTTTATAACCCAAAGATCTTGTTCCTTTCGATATTCGCACATATTGGACCATAACTTTTGAATTATGGCCCCTGATTGTACGAAGAATTATGGCCCCTGATTGTACAAAGAATTATGACCCCTGATTGTACGAAAAATCAAGTTTTTAGTTGTGATCCCTCTAGAGGTCACAATTATTATCCAATTTAAAAAAATCCCTTCGAATATATCACCGTTACACTGAATGTTGGCTGAAATTTTGTGAAAATCGAACCAAAACTGCCGGACAAAATGGCCGCCCCTCGTACGCAAATAGTCTAAACATATGTCATACCAAGGTTGTGGACCCTCTAGAAGTGACAATTTTTATCCAATTTTGATGAAACTTGAAATACATGTTTATAACCCAAAGATCCTGATTCCTTTTGATATTTGCGCATATCGGATAGTAACTTCCTAAATTTTGGCCCCTGATTGTACGAAAAATCACGTTTTTAGCTTGTGGTCCCTCTAAAGGTCACAATTTTTATCTGATTTAAAAAACTATGTGAATATATCACCGTTACACCCTGATGATGGTCGAGTTTTGGACCCTCTAGAGGTCACAATTTTGATCCAGTTTTGATGAAACTTGAAATACATGTTTATAACCAAAAGATCTTGGTTCCTTTCGATATTTGCGCATATCAGATAGTATAGTAACTTCCTAAATTTTGGCCCCTGATTGTACGAAAAGTCACATTTTTAGCTTGTGGTCCCTCTAAAGGTCATAATTTTTATCCGATTTAAAAAAATTGTACGAAAAATCAAGTTTTTAGTTGTGATCCCTCTAGAGGTCACAATTATTATCCAATTTAAAAAAATCCCTTCGAATATATCACCGTTACACTGAATGTTGGCTGAAATTTTGTGAAAATCGGACCAAAACTACCAGACAAAATGACCGCCCCTTGAATGCAAATGGTGTAAAAATATGATATATCAAGGTTGTGAACCCCCTAGAGACCAAAAATTTTATACGATTTTGATGAATCTATAAATTTATGTTTATATCACAAAGATAATCATGCATGCAAACGTAACTTCCTGGGTTATGGCCCCTGATTGTTAAAAAAATAGCATTTTTAGGTTGTGGGCCCGCTAGAAGTCACAATTTGTATTCAATTTTAAAAAACGTTTAAATATATGACCGTTACACATCAATGTAGGTTGAGTTTGAATTTCGTAAAAATCTGACCTAAACTACTGGACAAAATGGCCTCTCCTTGTATGCAAATAGTGTAAACGTATGTAATTACAATAAGATTCGTCATGGCCTTGGCTCTATTAACACATGGGGATGTGATGACAGTAGGTCGTAGTTCCATTAATTCAATTTGATTCCTTTAATCCAATTTCATCTGTCAATCCAAACCAACATCTTGATCTTTGGATGTCATACCGACACATTTCCTGCTTGAAATTCTGGAACCCGAGTTTGCAGTCTTGAGTAGTACCGAAATGTTTTAAAACTGCAGTAGACAAACCACTTGACCCACAATTACTGAAAAATCATTGACCAGTATCAAATCTGACCTTTCTGTCCAAAGTTCCAGAGAAGGTTGTTAAGCAGCAACTTCTTAGTCATTTAGAAAAATTTCAACTCCTTGAGGAGTTCCAGTCTGCTTATCGGTCTGGTCACAGCACTGAAACAGCCTTACTATATGTTATGGGTGCCATAAAATCATTAGTCTTTATCATCCAGAAAAATATTCAGCGAATATTAGTCTGGATGCATTGTCAATATTTGAGAATATAGGTCATTGGTTAGTTTATCTGGTCATTTACATTGTCATAAACAAAGTCTAAGGGAGGTAACTAGTCCTAAAACAAGATGTTGATGCCCATGAAATTAATTTAAGATTGCCATTTCAGAAAATCCATTTGATTGCATTGCTAGTTCAATATCCAACATTCATGTTTGTTTTAAACATAAAAAAAGAACTCTCTATTAAGCATGAGCAATGGAACTTTTTATCAAATATTGACAACAGTCCCAGATCCTCCGTACGTTGGAGACTATAGGAGGTTCTGGGTGACCGAGACTATAAAATCATCTGTTGATGAAGGAAAGATCGGCGTGTTGGTCCTTTTGGATTTATCAGCAGCTTTCAATACTACTAGGTCGACTGTCATCAGATTATGGACTAACTGGATCCATTCTAAAATGGTTTTCATTCTATATCACTGGACAATTTCAGTATGTTGAAGTTAACAACTCCTAATCAAGTCATCAACAACTATCATGTGGTGTTCCCCAAGGATTTGTTTTGGGCCCGATAATCTTCCCAGTGTATGCAAAGACGTTAGGTAAACTTATTCATGATCACAATCTGCTGTATCATTTTTATACTGATGATTCTTAGCTCCTTGACAGCTTCAAGCTACTTGCGATCGATCAAAATGTTGTCATCAAGAATCTGAAAGGGTGTCTCGATAATGTAAAAAAAATGGATGTCATCCAATATGCTTAAACTCAATGATGAAATAACTGAGTTTCTTCTCTTGGGTCCTGCTAACAGACTTAAGAAGTGTGACATTCGATCAATCAACATTGGAAACAACGAAATTCCTGTCTAGAACTGTAAGAAATCTTGGAATTCTTGTCAATTCTTATCTCAGTTTTGAAAACTATGTGAACTGGTATTATTAACGAAAAGATTTCAAAACTCCAAAGATTACAAAAGCGTACTGCTTACATTGTCACAAAAACTAAATCAATTTCACACATCACCCCAGTCTTGAACAAGTTACATTGACTCTGTGTTCGAGAAAGGATCAACTTTAAAATCTTATCATTAATCGATAAACAAATCCGTGCCAGGTTACCTTCAAAATCTAGTATCACTGTATCAACCTAAACGATCATTAAGATCAGAAGTGAAAATATTATTGGATGTACCTGCCTATAATTTGAAATGATTTGGATCCAGAAGGGAAACTATTATTGGATGTACCTGCCTATAATTTGAAATCATTTGGATCCAGAACTTTTCGATACAGAGCATCAATTGTTTGGAATATCCGATAATGTGAATCTGTGTCAGTTTTAAAATCCAAAGTAAAAACTAGGTTATTTAGTCACTATCATTAACACTTTAAAGTGAGAACATTTTCTAGTGCCCAGGGCATTCCCTAGTTGATTGAATAGTTGCGTGACACAAATATCATTATTATTTATTAGAGGTCACAATTTTTATCCAATTTTTAAAAGCGTTTAAATTTATGACTGTTACATCCTAATGATGGAGGGTGGGCGGGTGGATGTCCGAATGGTTAGCATGTGTGCACTGTATCATACGGTCTGTCATTGAGTTAACTGGTGGGGTTCCGATTCCCCGTTTGTATGTGGCAAGGAGTAGGGTCGCCTGTCCAACCTCATGGGTTTTCTCCGGGTCCTCCGGTTTCCTCCCACTGCTAAAGACCCCTGCGCACAAGGAGTCCCGAAAAGACCTAGTTTGTGTCGAGTGGAGGTTAAACCCCATTTCTTTGTCTCTTTACCCTGATGATGGTTGAGTTCCCATTTCGTGAAAAACGGACCAAAACTACAGGTCAAACTGGCGGCTCCTTGTACGCAAAAAGTGTAAAAGTATGTCATACCAAGGTTGTGGACCCTCTAGAAGTGACAATTTTTATCTGATTTTGATGAAACTTAAAATATATGTTTATGTCCCAAAGATCTTGGTTCCTTTTGCTATTTACGCATATCAGACCCTAACTTCCTGGATTATTACCCCAGATTGTACGAAAAATCACTTTTGTTTTTAGCTTGTTCTCTATCCATCTTTTGCCAAATGTTGGCGTATCTTACCTGGCAACCGCTTTTCACAGAAACTGTTGGTTGTTTTTGACATTTTTATTGTGAACCTCTTGGGATTATTTGATTAGTTTATAAGGATGAACCAAGTAACCCATCAATTTTTTTTGGAATCATTGCTATTGTTAGGTGTTTGGAGAGTTTGTTTTTCTCCAAAACCATGAGATTCTTCAGACATTAATTTAGTAAGGACCTTTATAAACATCTTGGATGACAAAGCTGCTGATGGGCATATGTTCATTGCCTGCCAACCTATATTTATTTATAGGTTCCTCCCTGGCACAGGATCGTGGACGATTGGAAGCAAAGATAGAAACCTTACAGGTTGAATTGAATACCATGAAGAAACATTTGGAAGTAAGCATTAATATTATTTACTGAACATTGCAAGACTTGATGACCCCAAAAAATGTAGTAAAAGGAATAAAACATTGAGAATTCAATTAACATCTTTCTACTTGGTTTGCAATAAAAGGCCCATAAAGAACTGTTATGAAATAGAAACTTAGTAAGGAGGAATAGAATATTCAAGATATTATCATGTTTTTAGTTGATTTGCAATAAAATTCTCATAATAAACGTATCCTTCCAGAAAGAAACAGATGTTGTGAAAATTAAAACTAAGATGATCGATGATCAAACAGAAAGTATTAAAAAACTCAAAGAGGTGAGTATTTCAAGTGGAAATTGATTGGAGAAAAGAAGGGCGTCTACTGGTCTGTAATCTCTATAGTATAATGCAAATATAAATAATATTTAGAGATAATGTAGACATAGTGTAATCATTGATATATTTATAGAACTAAATGACAAACGGACATGATAAACCCACTTATGGTCTTAATTTTTATGTTACAAAAAGGAAATGTGTATTAAAATTACTGCAATTTTATGCTTTAAACTCTCGCTTACATTAATTTTACAGTATTTCATTTACACATTTGTGATCATATAATTCCAGTAGCAGGGGTTCACTATATATACATGCTCATTAAACCCATTTATTTTGAAATCATTATAAATACCAATGAGATCTGGTAGAGATTAATTTTAATGATGGACTCAATGAGTAAGATGTTAGGATGCTAGCCTGGAGGTCTTGGGGTCGCTTATGAAGTTGACCGAGAGAAAGTTCCTTGGGATTTTCAATGTGGTGAAGGACGAGGAACTGACAAGGACAGCTGTCTAGTCATTTGGATGGCACGAAAGACCTTGGTCTTGTGTACACATTGGCGTGCATGTAAAAGAACCCTTGACAGTTAGAATTCAATGTAAGACTATAGGCTGTAGCTCAGCTGTCCGGGCAAAATTTCTCTCTTAACTCAATGCATGGAGTATGCACGTCTTCATTATCCCAGTCGGTGCGGAAGAGTTAAACCCATGTCAATTCATTTCGAAGAAAGCAGGGGACTATTAAAATGCGTTGGTAAGAAATTTTATTGATTGATATTTTGAGACACGATAACTTTGGTTCTAATTAAGTGAGAGTGATGAAACTTGGTTTATGTTTCAATACATCAACACCTTGCCTTAGTTCCATAATGAGCATTTTCGGCTCGGGGTAAGCAGGGTGATGAGCAATTTGATTGGTTGAGACATTGGAGCTCAACAACTTGAATTCTAATTGAGTGATAGTGGTGAAACTTTGTGTATAGTTTCATCACACAGTATCTTGACAAAGTTTGATGTTGAGCATGTTCTGCTTAGGCAAAGTAAAGACTTCAGTGTGATAGGTAGAGACTTTGGAACACCATAACTCTACTTCTAAATGGGGTAGAATGTTCAAACTTGGTGTAGGTGTTTATTAGGTGAATGACTTGACAGACTTTGATCATGCGCATAGACGTACGGGCCTGATGATAGTTAGGGGGGCAGAATCCGAAATGCCTGAAAAAATTTCGGGTTACAGAGGGCGATGGCGGTCTTCTGCAAGAGCGAAGGAATAGAGCTTACCGTGTAGGACACACACCCCCCCCCCACCGAAGAAAATATTGGAAAATTTGACGGCCGCAAACGCATTTTCCTGCTATTCCAACCTCTGAATACAGCAACTTCAAGGTGGTCTAATTTAGCCTAATTAAGATGGCTGACTCGAATTCCAATCAACCAATCAATCATTTAGTCCACGGGAGAAAATTTTGAAAATTTAAATGCTGCTAACACTTTTTCCTGCTATTTCAGTCTGTGAATACAGCAACTTCAGTGTGGTCCAATATAGCCTAACTTTGGTGGCTGACCTGAATCCCCAACAACCAATAAATTGTTTCGTGGGGTAGGAGGTTGGCCTTGCCCTCCCGGAGAACTTTTTGAAAATTTAACTACCACAAATGCCTTTTTTCGGCTTCTCTAGCAACTCTAAAGTTCTCTAATGGTTTTGTAACCGAAATCCCACTCTATGCCGACCTGAATTCTAACTATCCAATCACATTGTTGCAGATAATAATCGATGCCCTAAAAATGTCGCACAAAATAGAGAGGCTGCAGACAAAATGTTTTAATCCATAGTCAATTCAGTACAAATTTGTGATATTCAATTAAAAGAAAAGTAAAATTAGTGTTTTATTAGATTTCAGGCACTTTATTTTGCTAACCAGATGAAATAATAATTTATTTTTCACTTTGCCCGTCTGCCCGAAAAGTCAGATTGCCCGAAAGTTAGGAGCTGCCCCCCTGGATTGTAGGACTATGATCATGCGCATTTTCCACTAAGCAGAGATAAATAATTTGATTGGTTGAGACATTGAAACAAGATAACTATGGTTATAATTGGGTGAGAGCATTGAAACTCTGAGTATAAATTCATTATATCAATACCTTGACTAAGTTTGATGATTAAAATTTTCTGTTTAGGCCAAGTAGCAATAAGCAATTTGATTGGTCAAGACTTTGGAACATAACAACTCTGCTTTTAATTGAGGTAGAATGTTTAAACTTGATGTAGATGTTCATTAGGTGAATGTCTTGACTGACTGAGTACAATGATTAGCATTTCCAGCTAAAGCTAAACAGAGCTAAACATTTCATTGGTCGATGCTTTGGGACAAAACCATGATTGAGTTTGATCGTGAACATTTTATGCTTAGAATAAGTATAGATAATCAGTTTGATTGCTCGATACTTTTGAAAAAGATAAATGTGCAAATAATTAATGTGTCATCTATTTATTTTGGGATTTCGACCGGGGACATCAGCATCACTGTTGGCTTGTTATGTATGCACTTAGACTAAGAGTAGTGTCCTAATGGTATAGGTTTATTTATATTGTTTTATGTAATCCTATCCTATCTGATACATATCAATCCATCAAATTTTTTGCTAATGTAGCTGGTCTAATCTATTAAATATTTAACATTTAGATACAAAGTGTTGGTGAGATCAGAAACAGAATGATTGAAATTTTTGTAATTGATTCGTTTATTTTATATTAGATGAACAAAATAAACAAGCTTTTATTATAGATCAATAGCGTTTTTACTACACAGTCTTTTTATATGGCTCGTCTTCATTAGCCCAGTTTAGGAGCAGAACAGTAGGATGTTAAACCCCATTTCATTTCATTTCAATTCTTTTTATATGGGCTTCATCATCGATGCTACTTCGGGCGTATATTCCAGACATGTACTACGTAATTTTTCAATGGTCTGACAAGGAATATACCCAATATTAAGATATGGTGAATAAGAGAGGAGAGGGTTTAACGTACACTCGACACAAACTAGGTCATTTCGGGACTAACATATGCTTCAATTTTACTTCAATAATTCGCTTGCACGTAGAGGTCTTTAGCAGTGGGAGGAAACCGGAGGACCCGGAGAAAACCCACGAGGTTGTACAGGCGGCCCTACTCCTTCTCACGTACAACCGGGAAATCGAAACCACGGCAGTTAACTCAATGACAGAACCTTATGATACAGCGCGCATGTGCTAACCATTCGACCATCAAACCCTTTGATATGGTGAATGATATTAAAAATTCAAAAATATAGTGAGTATATAACTATTACTCATCTCGATTACTGTTGTCCCCCTCCTTTCGAAAAAAGCAGGGGACTATTAAAATGGGTTCATCTGTCTATCTGTCTGTCCGTTCGCCACACGATTAGCATTTTCTGCTTAGGGTAAGCAGAGATAAGCAATTTGATTGGTTGATGGTTTAAGACCCAATAACTTTAGTTCTAATTAAGTGAGAGTGATGAAACTTGGTGTATAGTTTGATTACATCAATACCTTGACTAAGTTCGATAATGAGCATTTTCTGCTCAGGGTAAGCAGAGCAATAAGCAATTTGATTGGCCGAGACTTTGAAAATAAATGAAATGAAATGAAATGGGGTTTAACGTCCTACTATTCTGCTCCGAACTGGGCTAATGAAGACGGGCATACGCCATACAGAATGTTCAAACTTGGCGTAGGTGTTTATTAGGAATTCGAAGATGGAGTTCGATAATGAGCATTTTCTGCTCAGGGTAAGCAGAGCGATAAGCAATTTGATTGGTCGAGACTTTGGAACACAATAACTCTCATTCTAATTGAGTTAGAATTAGAATGTTCACTTGGTGTAGGTGTCTATTAGGTGAATGCCTTGATGGAGTTTGAAGATGAAAATTTTCTGCTTAGGGACACGATAACTTTAGTTCTAATTAAGTGAGAGTGACTACACTTGGTGTATAGCTTTATTACATCAATACCTTGACTAAGCTCGATAATGAACATTTTCTGCTGAGGGTAAGCAGAGCGATAAGAAGTTTGATTGGTCGAGACTTTGAAACTCAATAACTCTCCCTCTAATTGAGCTAGAATGTTCACACTTGGTGTAGTTGTTTATTAGGTGAATGCCTTGATGGAGTTCAAAGACAATAACTTTGTTATAATCCAATGATTCTATTGTCGAATAACAAGTACCGCTGTTACGATAATAGACAAACGGTGATAACTTCTCTCAGAATAAAGTAATCTGAATGAAATTTTCAATATATTCAATTTGCTTAATCTAATTTTTATATGCCCACATTGAAATGTGGTAGTATATTGTCGTCGCCCCTGTCCGTCCGTCAGTCCGGCGTCCACAATTTTGTGGATGCTCATCCAATTGACTTTAGATTGATAAACAGAGTTTAAGGTCTTGATAATTATTTAATGAGTTGTTACTCTTAATCAGATTTTAGTGTATTATAAATGTTTTATTACCGACAATAGAAAAAATAAGCGACAACTCTTGTTGAATGCTCGGACGACTTAGTTGCTGTGGGCATATGTTTTGTTGGCTGGCAACCTATCTTTAACTATTTTAGCGAGAATTGGCAGCTCTTTATTTAAATCTTACATAATGTCTCTGTAACATATATTGCTAGTTTCATCTGAATGTTTGAATCAGGCCCGAAATTGTGGCATCTGGATGGACCACAACCTTTTGTACTTGTACATATTTACAATTATACGTAAAAGTTAAGGCACCATAACCCAAGAAGTTGCTGTCTGATTAACTCCAAAATGAGAACCTATCTGAGATATGTTAGACATTATATTTGAAGGTTCATCAAAATCGAATAAAAATTGTGACCTCTAGATTGTCCACAAACAAATGTAAATGAACATGAAGACATTGGCGACAACACACAAGGGCTGAAATGTTCTTAGCCTGAAAAGGATAGATCAACTGGTTTGAAGCAAACTTTTGCCACCAACAAGCATAATCATTAAATGAATCACAGACATAAGAACTGCAACTGTAGTATTATTATTGTCTTCGTACCAAACCATCCTGTTAACCTACCCATTGAAATCACCAAATTTGTACAAAATGGCTATAGGGCAGTCATCAATTAAGTACCTTCAACTTAAAGGAATAACCCCAACACAGATACATGGTCTCTACTTTAGGGGATTATGCTCCTTCCTTTTTCACAATAAAAAAGTGGGCTGCAGAATTTAAGCGTGGCAGAGAGAGAGCCTTGACGATGACCCAGATCCTGGAAGGCCATCAACACCAGCCATTCCAAAAAAAACCTTACCGTGGTGATGACTGATTGACCACTTGACATGTAGCCAGTGATGTAGCATCTCTCATTAGATGGTTGAGCACATTATCGTCAACAAGTTAGGAATGACAAAAGTTTCTGCAAGATGGGTGTCAAAGCTCTTTACTGCAGATCCGAAACATGTCAGATTCCTGATATCCTGTGACAATCTGTGCCGTTTTGAAGTAGATCCTGGTAATATTTTAACTAGATTTGTAACCATGGTTGAGACCTTAATTGATTGATCACTTTCAGCTAGAATCCAAACTTCAGTCTAAACAATGGAAGCATCCAGAGTCCCCAGCCCCCAAAGAAGCTAAGCTGGTTCCTTCTGCTGGAAAGGTGATGGCTTCAGTATTTTGGGAATCCAAAGGTATTCTGCTGATTAACAATCTGACCTACTGAGACAGTTGCGTGAAGCTATGAAAGCTAAGCCCCTGGGAATGCTTACTAAAGGCTTCCTGTTCCACTAAGACAATGCTCCTGTTCATAAAACGGTGATTGTCATGTCAACGATCCATGATTGTGGCTTCGAACTCAATGACCATCTACCTTACTCACCCAATTTGGCCCCGTCAGACTTCCACCGGTTTCCAAAAAGGAAAAAGGAACTAGCCGGTCGTCATTTTCCTAGTAACTATGACGTCATGTCAGCTGTGAATGACTTTTTTTAGTGTGGCTGAAGTGTGTACACCTCAAAGGGGTCCATAATCCAAGAAGTTATGGTCTGAAATGTTCGAATATCGAAAGGTTTGTGGTTTTGAATTTTGTGAAAAGTATACCCGAACTGCCTGACAAGATGGCTGCTCCATGTAAGCAAAGAGTGTTGAAGTATGTAATATCAAGATTGTAGACCCTCTAGAGGTTACAATTTGATGAAACTTAAAATATATGTTTATATCACAAAGATCTTGATTCCTTTCGATATTAACGCATATTGGACCGTAACTTCCTGGATTATGGCCCCTGATTCTACTAAAAATTGTTATCTTAGCTTGTGGATTCTCTAGAGGTCACAATTTTTATCCGATATTAAAAACTGTTTAAATATATCACCATTACATCATGGTTGAGTTCGAATTTCATTAAAATCGAAACGAAGCTGTCTGTCAAAATCACCGTTCCTTGTATGCAAATAGTGTAAAAGTATGTAATACCAAGGTTGTGTGCCCCCCTAGAGGTCACCATTTTTTTCCAATTTTGATGAAACTTAAAATATATATTTATACCCCAGAGATTTCATCAGTTCCTTTAGATATTCGCGTATTGTGAACTATTACTTCCTGGATTATGGCTTTTGATTGTACGAAAAATCGCTTTTTTTTAGCTTGTTCTCCGTCCATCTCTTGCAAAATTTGGGCATATCTTGCATGGCAACCGGTTGTTAATAATTTTAACTAATATGTTGTTTTATTGGTAGGGTTTATTGGAGAGAGATGAGGAGATAAGAAAATCTAGAGAAGAAGCTTTGAGAATTCAGAAATCTTTAGAAGAACAGTTAGCTGAAGAGAAATCTATCAGTCAAGACAATCAGGTAAAAAAATGGTTAGCTAAAGAGAAATCTATCAGTCAGTTTAATCAGGATAAACTGATGGGTGAGGAAAAATCAGTCTTTTAAATAAATCGAGTAGAAGCAGTCTGAAAAGATAACACTATAATCAGTTAAAAAGCCAAGGTGAAATTGAGATAATATGGTAAAAATATCCGGTTCCACAAAAAAAAAAAAAAAAAAAAAAAAGGTTTTGGAGATAGATTATATAGATTACCAGTAGTTTTGTGATTAAGTTGTTATTTTGTGGGTTTCATGTGAAATTCTGATATTGCATCAGTTCATGATCCGAGTGCCAACAACACAAACTACTGCTAAACAAAGTCAGATAGGTTAAGATTGTTCAGATTGAATCATAAGAAGATATTTCTCACACAATGCATGCTTTCTGGGTTTATACACTTACATTTCTATGTAGTAAAAAACAAAGTCATGTGGATGAATATTGTCGTAGCCCCTGTCCTTCAGCATTTGGTTGTTTACACTCTACAGGTCACAATTTTTACCCACTTTTGACGAAACTTGAAATTTAGTATCTCCAAAAGATCTCAGTTCCTTTCAATGTATTGGCATGTATCAGACCTTAACTTCATGGATTATGGCTACTGATAATACAAAAAATCACAATTGAACCGCTAGAAGTCACAATTTTAATCCGATTTTAATAACCATTTAAATATATCAACGTTACACCCTAATGATGATTGAGTTTGAATTTCGTCAAAAAGGATCTAAACTGCTCGACAAAATGGTCACTCCTTTTATGCATATAGTGTAAAAGTACCGGTATTGAGTATGTAATACCAAGGTTGTGGACCTTCTACAGGTCACAATTTTTATCTGATTTTGATGAAACTTGAAATATATTCCAAAGATCTTGGTTCATTTTGATGTAGTCGCATGTCGGACTGTAACATCCTAGGTTATGGCCTCTGTATGAAAAATCGCTTTTTTAGCTTGTTCACTGTCCATCTCTTGCAAAATGTGGGTGTATCTTGTATGGCAATCGATTGTTTTTATGTGGACGTATATTGTTGTCGCCTCTAACAATTTGTTTGTGGGCAGTCTACAGGTCACAATTTTTATCCGAATTTGACGAAACTTGAAATATAGGTATATCTCCCAAAGGTCTTGGTTCCTTTCGATATTGGCATATATCGGACAGTAACTTCATGGATTATGTTTTTAGCATGTGGACACTCTAGAGGTCACAATTTGTATCTGATGTTGATGAAACTTAAAATGTGTCTTCATGCCACAGCTCCAAACTATCTCCAGGGCCTAATTCAAATAAAATCCCATGAAAGAACAATATTCCGAGAACAAATCTCGTATCGTGTGGTGATAGGGCTTTCTCTGTAGCAGCACCAGTCCTGTGGAACAAGCTACCTCAACATGTGAAAGAAGAAGGAACTATTGCAGAATTCAAAAAGAGACTAAAGACTCCTCTCTTTACTTCAATATAACAACATTTTATGTGACAGACAACTCCGCGCCATTGAGCAGTTTACTGGAAAAAAAGGCGCTATATAAATACATTATTTTTATTATTATTATAACCTAAAGATCTCAGTTCGGAACGTTATTTCCTGGATTATGGCCCCTGATTGTACGAAAAATCACGTTTTTAACTATTGGTTCCTCTAGTGGTCACAATTTTTAACCAATTTTTAAAAATATATCACCGTTACACCACAATGATGGTTCAGTTCAAAATTTGTGAAAATCAGATCGAAACTGCTGGACAAAATGGCCACTCTGTATGCAAGTGTGTAATATCAAGGTTGTGGACCCTCTAGAGGTTACATTTTTGATTTGATTTTGATGAAACTTAAATTATGTGTTTAATGATCTCGGTTCCTTTCAATATTCGCGCATATCGGACTGTAACTTTCTGGATTACGGCCCTTGATTTTACGAAAAAATCACAGTTTAAGCTTGTGGATCACAATTTAAATATATCACCGTTACATCATAATAATGATAGAGTTGGAATTTCATTAAAATTTCTATCCAATTTCAAAAATTGTTTAAATAATCGTTACACCCTGATGCAGAGCTGAGAGAGCAGTTGTTAACGTATAAATGAGATTAACACATTAATAGAAATGAGATTAATGCATTAACACTCTGTAATGTGATATATGCATATTGGGCTGGAAAATCGTTATACAGACTCATGAAAGGGCCTAATTCATGCAAAATATCATCCAGAAGACCACATTGCCACTGTCACTTTAGTTACATCTCCAGTCTCCCTTGAACCACCAAATTTGATCCAGAATTTGGAGCCCAGATTAAAAATAATGATCAAGAATAATTTTTGTTCAATCTCTGAAATAGGTTGGGTACAAAAATGAATATGTTTTAGGAGCTTTGATAATTAACTCATATTAACTTGCTAACTTTAAAATTTCAGTTATAGAAAATTTTAACTTGCTCTCAGCCCTGCCCTGATGATGGTTGAGTTTGAATTGCGTAAAAATCAGATCATAATTGCCCGACAAAATGGCCGCTTAGTACGAAAGTTGTATTCTCCCATGACCTCACATGGAAATCAAAACTTTGATCTCTGAGGTCTATAATATGAAAGACGTTGTAAAAAAAGGTCAAATCTGGTGCAAAAACTGAACAATTTATCCATGTGTGAGTAACAAACACAAAGACTTGATAATAAGTCTGCCATGCCTTCTTACAAGTGCTGGATTAAGCCACCCTCATTTCAAGAAGATATACATGTTTAAAAATTAGATATGATGAAATATTCCTATAGGCATTTTCCTTTCATTTTGTATCGTTTAAACCAAGACAGGTAATTATTAAGGAATATTAATGAATACCTGAAGCTGTATGTACGTGAATTAAATATGGGAAATATTTAGCATGGGAAACTATTCTTTTTTTGTAATCACAAATATTATTTAGAATATGTTCTGCTGCCTGACAAATCATAAAGAAATATATTTTATTCAAGTCTGTAAAAGGGAATGGAAGTTTACTGAACCTATTTACTGAAGCTGGCAATAATTTCTAGTGACCCAACTGTTAATCTCAACTGTAAATATCCATGGGAAAACTGTTTGAAACAGACACCTTGGTTAATTTTTAATTGATGGTAACTGTTTATTAGTACAGTTTGCTGCTGATTACCAATTACACAGGGATTGTGTAACTTATTTCAATAATTTGAAAAACATGTCAAAGGGCACTAGTCCGGCCGCAGGTCGACAAACCTGGAAATATAGTCCACCTAATGTTTTTTGATGGATTATATATCTTTAATATGTGTAGTTTTAGAATCCGGATGATGCCACCCTGGCATTAAAAAAATTCAAGATGGCCGTCATGAGGCATTTTCTGGTTACTTATTTAATTTAATGGGGTACAATTTGGGACAATTTCTCTCGGACCACGGTATGGAGGTGATTTCTACCAGAATTTGACCCGCTGAATCTAGTGAGCTTGGGTATTCCTCCTAAAAGTGACGGCTAACTCTATATTTCAATATATTACACAACTTTTTAGGGAACTTTATAAGTTTCCTGGGGATCACGTGGCTAAGTGGGTAAGACGCTGGCTCACTAGCCTGGAGGTCGGGTGTTCGATTCCTGCATTGGCCGAGAAAGTTCATCCAGATTTTCCGGCGTGGTTCTCACTTGTCAGTGATGCAGGACGGAGGGCCTGACAAGAACAGCTGTCTAATTGTTCGGATGTAACGAAAAACCGAGGTCCCGTGTACACATTGGCGTGTACGTAAAAGATCCCTTGACAGTTGGAATTCGATATAATAGTAGGCCGTAGTGCCGCTGTCCGGGCAAAATTTCCCTCATAGCACACTGTATGGTGTATGCCCGTCTTCATTAGCCCAGTTTGGAGCAGAACAGTAGGACGTTAAACCCCATTTCATTTCATTTTATTTATAAGTTTCCAGCCAAAATAAGCCTCCATTTTGAATTTGGCTCCCTTGCGGAATTAGCCGTCACCTTTAGGAGGAATACCCAAGCTCACTGGATTCGACGGGTCTAATTCTTATAAAACTCATCTTCGAACCTAGTTCCGAGAGAATCTGTCGCACATTTTACCCCACTTAATTACCAGAAAATGCCTCATGGCGGCCATCTTGAATATGTTAATTTCCCCAAGGGTGCCAGGGTGGCATCATCCGGATTCTTAATCTTCATATGAAGATATATAATCCACCCAAAAACATTAGGTGGACAATATTTTCAGGTTAAGGCTTAAAATGGGGTTTGGCAACTGGACTATATGGGATGTTGACCACTGAGTCGTCTAATATTTTTGTTGAAAGTAATTGAAAGTTTCTGTCATACTCATAGAATAACAACCAGCTTGCTAATTTTCTATCCCACATTGAACAAAGCTAAAGGGAAGCTTACTGAAATGGGTTATATCTGTTCATCTCGACTTGGTTTACTTATATATCAAATTATCGGTATGCTGATATTGCCTTCTGCTAAAGATCAACTTCTTGATTGACTAATTTAATTTGTGTTTCAGTTGAGATAAATTTTGTATTTACTGTACATTTACTATCTGGGAACCTTTCAAGATACCTTTATGAATTGAAACTTTTTGCTATAGTTGTGCCTTTTGCTAATAAGAAAATTGATGAGTTGATTGATTTCTGTGATACAGTTGGAAGACTTTTTCGCAGTCGGTTCTGATTTTTTACAATTGCCGTTTTTGACCCCATCACAGAGGGCACCGCCCCTTGTTACTCTGTTGGGGGAGGGCCCTCCACACCCTGCAATCGGTATTTTTAAGTTTTATATTTCTAACAGCTAAAATCATGTTGGATATTAGCTCCCATAGATAAAATCATGCACTGTGTATGCAAACTACCACAAACTATATACTCCTCAGGGTACTTTCAATACAAAATGCTTGAGACCTAGTCTGTTATCATAAGTATGTTTGTCCTCATTCGTAGAAAATATCAGCTTGTCATTATACATCATTAAATC